GGTATGGTTCAATTACTTCCTATTCATCTATTTTTCATAATTTTCTTGCTGTCATTCATACTATAGTTGAGCCAAAGTCCTTTCAAGAGGCCGTTCAATTTCCAGAGTGGCGACATGCTATGGCTAAGAAATTTCAGGCCTTTCAGCAAACACATACCTGGGATGTTGTTCCCTGTCCCCCTGGTATCTCTTTAGTTGGCAGTAAATGGGTTTATAAGGTCAAGTATCGTTCTAATGGCACCATTGAATGTCGGAAAGATCATTTAGTGGCTCGAGGCTTTACTCAGCAACAATGTATTGATTATGAGGAGACTTTTGCTGCTGTTGCTCAGATGCCCACCGTTCGTACTCTTCTTACGATCGCTCCTGCTCATCGTTGGCCCTTATACTAGATAGATGTCAAAAATACTTTTCTTCATAGCTCTTTATCTGAGATTGTATATATGCAACCGCCTCCAGGGTCCAATATTCCCCCGGGACATGTATGTCTCCTTCGCCGTGCTGTTTATGGTCTCAAGCAGGCACTCCGCGCTTGGTTTGAGTGTTTTCGCGATGTCGTGCTCAAAGCAGGCTTTATGGAAAATCATCAAGATGATTCTCTGTTTGTTCGCACTACATCGCGTGACAAAGTTTTATTACTTATATATGTAGATGATATGATCATTACAGGTGATGATATGGCTGATATACAGTACGCAAAATCTTAGTTGCAACAACAGTTCCACATGAAGCATCTTGGAGCTCTTCGGTATTTTCTTGGTCTAGAAATTTCTCAAGGCCTGCGGAGTGTACTACTGTCTCAACAGAAGTATCTCTCAAATATTCTAGATCGAGCTAAGCTAACTGATGATGCAACTGTCGATACTCCACTCCAACAGAATGTCAAACTTCGCTCTACTGATGGTGAGCCTCTGTCTGATCCTACCCGATATCAACATCTTGTTAGCCAGTTGGTCTATCTGTGCATCTCTCGATCAGATATCTCTCATGTTGTTGGCATTGTCAGTCAATTTGTTAGTGCCCCACGTTCTGTACACTATGTTGCCTTATTACGGATTCTTTGGTATCTCCGGTGTACTAACACTCGCTCTCTTCTGTTTCCTGCTACATCAAAGTTAGAGCTTTGTGCATATTCTGATGCTGATTGGGCTGGTGATCCCACTACCAGGAAGTCTACCATATGTTATTGTATATTTCTTGGTGATTTCCTAATTTCCTGACGGAATAAGAAACAAGATGTTGTTGCTCTCTCCAGTACCGAGACAGAGTATCGTATAATGTCCACAACAGCTAAAGAGATTGTTCATCTTCGTCGTCTTCTCAGTGATTTTGGTATTTCTGTTTCGACTCATACTCTTCTATACTGTGATAATAAGAGTACTATCCAGATTGCTAATAATCTAGTATTTCATGAGAGGACCAAACACATTGAGATCGACGCTCATTTTATCCGTCAACAAGTTATCAAAGATAAGATAATTCTACTTCCTCATGTGTCATCCACCAATGAGCTTGCAGATTTCTTCACAAATGCCTTACATGTTCATCGATTCCAGTTTCTTGTATGCAAACTCACTTTGTTTGATCCAACATGAGTTTGAGGGGGCTTTTGCTAATAGTGTTAGTAGTGGATTTTTAGTACCACATTGGTTGTGAGAACACATCTCATCATCCTTTACTTGTATAAATATATGTGCACGCTCAATATTCAACTCAAGAAAAATTTATCCAAGACTCTCTCTCTCTCTTACTTTAACATAGAGCAACCTAAGTTCAAATCCTACTGGCCATGATATTAAAACGGATTTTCTAAAAATTGACATTATTGCTTGGACTCTAAGAATAACAAAGATATTATGTATGCACTATACTTTATTTGTTGGATTCTATCCAACATCAAAGTATAGTTAGGCTTATAGTTCTGGAAACAAAAATAATGGTCTTTCCATTATTATGTACTCTAGAAAGTTGTCCCTCCAATCATTGAAAATGCTATTAACTCCTTCACTTATGAACTTATTTATAAAGTATTTCTTCAAATTATTGAAACTGCTACTAGATTCTCAAATTCTCATAAAATTATTATTTCTAATTGTTACTTCTATTCTTGGTTGGAGCGATTAATTTCAAATGAACTTAAGAATTGAGGGAGATGGTGGAAATTTCAATGAGTCGAGGAACTAATTTTTTAAAATAAATTAAACACTGACTGGGGGGTCTAATTACAATTTTAATGATTCAAGGGGACTAATTTCAAATAGATCCAAAAAGACCACGTACCTTTTAGCTTCTCTATAAATTACGTAACGTACCTATCCAATACTATCTTCAGTTGCAGTTCATCATCTCCGATTAGAAGAAAGAAAAAAAAATTAACAAACCGAACTAGTAATTAGGAAAAAGAAATCGGAACACGGAGCATAAGGTAAGCTCATTTTTTTCATAGTTTAAAATTGATTAGTCCTTAGTAAATTGATTACCTAGTTAACCACTACTATACTTACCGTCTTTGCATGACGTTGCATTTCCTTTCAAATTTGCTAAATTTGGTTAACATGGAAGAGAAAATAGAAATAAGAGAATATAGAAAGAAATCATGTGCTGAACGGTCGATTGGTGATGACTAGACATAAACTTTAGGGGAGCTTAGATTTTTCAAACCCTCCCTGTACGCTGAGTATCATGTCTGGAAGCCTAAGTCTGGTTTAAATGTTTCTCCTCCTGTTGAGGGTAGTGATACTGAAGCTATGGAGATAACTACTGATAAGATTGAAGTGCAAACTCCTCAGTTAACAATTGTTAATAACTCTGACAATTGTTTGTATGACACTGTGACAGCTCAACATGCACAGAAGGGAAAACATGCACAGTCCTGTTCTGTCCCTCTGCAGTCTGGAACAATATGCACAACAGGGGTTTTAAATGTTGATAGAGGGGGCCTCTCACTTCAGGAAAAACATGCACAAATACATGCTCATCTGGAGCTTTCTCACACTAAACAGAGAACCTTCCCTTGCTCTCCTTCAGTCAATTCAAGTGGATTTACACATGTTAATAGTGCTTTTGCTGCTAAAAGACCTATTATCAGGGAACCTGGTGCTTCAGTACAAACATCTAGATTCTCCATTCTTGATCATCATATATTTGATTTGGATCCCTCTAATGTTGATAGAGGGGGTTCTCCTTAATAAATGCACTTGGCTATATGGAACATTAGAGGATTTAATAAATCCTCTAAGCATGGGTTAGTGAAGAAATTTATTCAGGAGTACAAAATCTCTCTGCTAGCCCTTCTAGAAACTAAAGTTAAGAGAGATGAAAATTTACAGTCTATTGGTAACAAAATTGCAAAAGAGTGGAAATGGATATCTAACAAGCACTGGGTAAACAATGCTAGAATTTGGATTTTGTGGGACAGTGAAGTGATCTCTATCCAAGAAGTTCATTCCTCTGACCAATATATTACTTGTGTTCTGAAGTCCAAGGATGGTAAACTGTCATGTCTGATCACTGTAGTCTATGCTCACAATCAGAATGATAAAAGGAAAACTCTTTGGGAGGAACTGCTTGCTTTCAAAAGGAGTGTCAACTGCCCATGGTTGGTGGGGGGTGATTTCAATGCTACTGTAAATGGTGATGAAAGAATTGGTGGTTTTCAGTCTACTGGAGCTGGTAATGATGATTTTCAAGCTTTTATTTCTTCCAGCCAACTGAGCCACATGAAAACTATTGGTTGCTATTTTACTTGGAATAATAAACAAGATGCTGGATCTAGGGTCTGGAGTAGATTGGATAGATCCTTGGTTAATGATGATTGGATTAATCAATATACTACAAGTCAAGTGGAATATTTGATGCCTCTATGCTCTGATCACTCCCCTGGGCTCATTACCATTGGAGATGAAACATTTGATGGTAAAAAACCTTTTGAATTCTTTTGGAGAGGTTTTTGCATGTTCAGATTCTGCTCTAAACACCCTGATTTCTTAGAAGTGGTAAGTTCTGCTTGGAATAAGAGTGTTAGAGGTTTTTGCATGTTCAGATTCTGCTCTAAACTTAAAAATCTCAAGCATGCTCTCAAGGATCTCAATAAGAAGAATTACATGAATATCAGTCAGCAAGTTTCTAGAGCTCAAACTGAACTTTTGGAGATTCAATTCAAGCTGAGTACTGACCTCTTCAATTCAGAGTTGATTTCTAAAGAGAGGGAATGCATCAAAAAATATGCTATTCTGCTGGATAATGAAAATTCCTTTCTTAGACAAAAAGCTAACATCAAATGGGGACTCCACTCTGATAAGGGCTCTCAATTCTTTCACTCAGTGATGAAATCCAAAAGACATCAGAGTAGAATCTTGTCAATATACAATGCTGCTGGTTTCAGGCTCACAGAATTGTCTGATATCACCTCAGAGCTTGTTGAATATTATAAGAAGTTGTTGGGGAATGCTAAGGTCAACACAACCCCTGATCCTAGTGTGATCTCCAATGGCCCTGTTCTTACTCCAGCTCAGAGGAATGAATTGAGTTCTCCTGTCTCCAGGGAGGAGATTAAGCAAGCTCTATTTTCCATGCCTGATAATAAGGCCCCTGGGCCTGATGGCTTCAATGTTTACTTCTTTAAAGCTGCTTGGAGTGTTATCAGTGAGGATCTCTTTCTAGCAGTTGAAGAATTCTTTCAATCAGGTAAACTCTTGGGTTCCCTTAATACTACTTCTATTACTCTTGTGCCCAAAGTCCTCAGTCCCACTTCAGCTGCTGACTATAGGCCGATTTCCTGCTGCAATGTCATATACAAAATTATCTCTAAAGTCATTGCTAGCAGGGTGCAAAAGATTATTGGCTACCTAGTTAATGATGCTCAATGTGCATTTGTGAAAGGGAGACTCATATCTAGTAACTTCCTTCTTGCTCATGAAATCATCAAACATTATGGAAGGAAAAATAAACATTTAGAAAACTAGGCTTTTGACACTATAAATTGGGAGTTTATAAGAAGTATGCTGGTTGGTCTGGGATTTCCTATGATTATGGTTCACTGGATCATGGTGTGTATTTCCTCTCCAAAATTTTCTTTAGCATTGAATGGGGGGATGCATGGTTACTTCCATGGTGCAAGAGGATTAAGACAAGGGGATCCTCTCTCCCCTTATCTCTTTGTCATTGGTATGGAGTTTCTATCTAGAAAGCTTAGTGTTTTAAAGGATGATTCCTCTTTCAAATTTCACCCGAAGTGTTCTAAGCTTAAGATCAATCATTTGATATTTGCCGATGACTTGCTCTTGTTCTGTAAAGCTGACATGAGCTCTATTGCAAAAATTTATGAATGCCTACAAGAGTTTGGACAAGCTTCAGGCTTGGAAGCTAATGCAAGCAAGTGTGCTGTTTACATTAGTGGAGTTAGTGATAGTCTCAAAAATCAGATTTGCAGCTATCTTAATTTCCCTGAGGGTGTACTACCTATGAAGTATCTGGGGCTGCCATTGAATGCTAAAAGGCTATCTTATTCTGATTGTTCTAGCCTTATTGAAAGAATTAATAAGCAGTTCCAAACTTGGCAACAGAGAAAGTTTCTGTCCTATGCAGGCAGGCTTGAGTTGATAAAATCTGTGATATTAGGCATTCAAACATATTGGATTAGCAATTACATTCTGCCAGTTAAAGTATTGGAAAGAATTGACAGAATGAGTTCGGAATTCCTGTGGGGACATAAAATTCATCTTGTGAACTGGGAATCTGTGTGTCAAGGAAAGGAGCAAGGGGGGTTAGGGATTTTCTCAGCTAAGCATTGGAATTTTGCTGCTGCAACTAAGCTCATTTGGATGATTCATCTTAAAAAGGATCTACTATGGATAAAGTGGATCCATGGAAATTACCTACAGAGCTTCAATATCTGGTCTGTTCCATCCAAGACAAATGATTCATGGATATGGAGGCAACTCCTTAAAGTGAGGGATATGTTGTTGCACAAGTTTGGTAATGTGGACAGTATTGAGGCTGCTATGACTAAATGTTTTGCTGAGGGTAAACTCCACTTATCTGCAGTTTATAAGTCCCTTATCCAGCCTTTGATTACAGTGCCCTGGGCTAAAACTGTATGGGATAGTTTCTTATATCCCAAGCACTCTTTCATTTTGTGGCTTGTTTGTCATTCAAGGATTCTCACTAAGGATAGATTGTGCCGAATGGGTATCTTGAGCACCAATCAGTCTCACTGTGTTCTGTGTGATAGGCAGGAGCTGGAGACTAGTAGCCACATTTTCTTTGAATGCCAATTTTCAGCTGAAGTTTGGAATTCAGTGTTGGAATGGCTGAAATATAGATGGAGATCTTGTGTATGGAGCTTGGTTTTGAATTGGTATTCATGTAATTTGAAAGGAAAAGGTCCTATGAAGAAATTGAAGAGGATGTGTTTATCCACTGCAGTCTATATGATCTGGAAGGAGAGAAATCGAAGAATTTTTCAAGGCAAAATGAGTCTCCCTGCTCAGGTTCTAAGAGAGATCAAATTCTCAGTTTTTGCTAAAGTTTACAATGATTCTTCTAATGTACATATGAAAAATATCATTGAGGAACTGTAATTTTTTCTTGATTTCCAGTTTTACTGGCACTTAGTTGTACTCCTCATTCTCAATTGGAAAATGAATAAAATTAAAGTTCATTGACCAAAAAAAAAACCCTCCCTGTACGCTTATGACAAATTTTAAAACTATGCATGGCTAACTATGTTTGGTGATGTTTATATTTTAATGAATTTGCTGATGAACAATGTTGAATTATCTTGTGATGACAGGTTGATACCTGTTTATGTTGTTTTTTTCTCACTCAAAAATAAAGAAATTATGACTTTAGGTTTAAACTTAAGCGAAAATCATCGGTGCTAGGTAGAAGGACGTTATGAACGTTTGTGTTAGACTCTAATTCTACACCATCTTATAATGATTAGTTCCCAAACATAACGTAGGCATTAGTGGTGTTAATAACAAAATTAACCAAACATGTATGCTACTAAAAATTCAACTCACTATAGTCCCTCGTACTATTATATCCTATGACTATAGCGAGTTAAATTAATCCTAGGATAAAATAAGTGTCCAATCCAAACATGACCTAGATATATTTTCATGGTCTGAGCCGGAAGGAAAGAAATTTAGGAGTACTCAATGCCCCCATACGTATTAAAAAGACAATTGCAGATGGAAATACTGGCCCATTAATAAGAATGAAAGGCTAGCCCAATAAAGCAAAGAGACTAGCCTAATTGTAGAAATTTGATAAATTGGATAAATCAGTCTAAAACATATTTATAAATTTAGAGGGTGAGAAAGACAAGAGGGCACCCCGAATTCTCTCAAGTTAAGTCAATTTGAAACATATCTACAAATTTAGAAGGCGAGAAAGATAAGACGATCAATCGTCAATCTACACAACTATAGACGATGAGGCAATTACAAAGGGCGATTTGTCAATATCATCCTCTCGATACTTAAGTTAGTCTATGAGCAGCCAAACTAGAGTTTTTGCAACTTGTTTGTGAACATATTTCCAATTGGTAAATGAAAATTCATTCGGTTACAAAAAATAGAGTTTTTTTTTACTTAGTACAATAAGGCTATTTGTAATAAACATTTTTAAAATTGCGTTTGTCGAAATATTATTCTAGTCCAATGTAGAAACCCAATTGAACGAGACCTCTTAATTGTGAGGCACATTAACAGTGAAAGAGGAGAGAGAGAGAGTAAGTGAAAAACTGTTAATGTCTTCTTATTAAATTGGTTTTGCTAACAATTGTCCTCCATTGTTCCAAGGATAATGGTTAAAAGGCAGAGATAAATTGACAAATTGTGAATTTTTTTGTATACTTAATTCTTAATCATTGTTGTCAGGAAATAGTTAGCAAAACCATGTTAAAATTTTTAATGTAAAGATAGTAAGATTTAATCCAAGAGTTTCCAAACTGATTTAATGTTTCTTTGACAAATGTTGGATGAAAGACTTTGTTGCATTGAATTAGTTAGTGTTACTACTGTTGAATATGTCTTATATTGAAATAATCGTAATTTGATTAGGATTAATAAAAGTTTGACTTTGATCAAAAGGATAAGTTACAATTAGAATTGAATTTAATTTAACTGAAACAAGACTAGTGGATTTGATAACATCATGAGAAAGGAATTCTTTGGAGAAATGCTTCCAGCCCCCAAAACGAATGAAAACAAGCTTCTCACCCCCAAGACTTTTTCAACGGGTGCTTTGCCCCCAAAAGTAAAATTTTTGTTCTCTGAGCCCCCAAACACAAAGCCCAATGAATTTCACACAGGGAAGGACTATAATACCCATTCTCTCTCTCTCTAACCCTGCAATCCCTCTGCTCTCCCTCCTCCCTCCCCCACCTCTCCACCCGCCGCCGCCGCCCTCCTCCTGCCATCCTCACCTTCTCCGCCACCGTCGCTCCGGCCATCCACAGCATCCTTAAGATCCAAAACGCGGAGAAAACCCCGGCGCGGTTCGAGGAGTACAAAGAGATCGTCCGCTCGAGGGCCGAACGAACCTCCGGCGACGAGCGCTGCATAGCCGACGGGAACAAGCGACTGAGGGTTTACTGCTTCATGATTCTCTGCGAGCTGGGTTTCATGGGAGCGTGGGAGCGGGCGGGAGGACCTGTTCATGGGAGCGTGGGAGCGTGGGAGAACCTGTTCATGGGAGCGTGGGAGCGTGCGGGAGGACTCGCCCAACCCAAGAACAATGCGTGGGAGGACCTATTCGTGGGAGCGTGGGAGCGTGCGGGAGGACTCGCCCAACCCAAGAACAATAATAAGAAGAAGAAGGACAAGATTGATAGTAATTACAACCATGCCCCCTAACCTTGGTTGCTCCTGCTTTGGATGCTACAAGAGCTTCTGGGCTCGTTGGGATGCCTCACCCAACCGCCATGTCATCCACCTCATCCTCGATGCCTTTGAAGAGACCCTTGAATCGAAGGAGGCCAACAGCAAGTAGAAGAGGGGGTTGAAGAGTAAAAAGATTGATTTTGATGAGGTTTTGGCGAAAGAGATGAGCGCCCATGAGGAGAAAGTTGATGATGATGGCCATGATGATGGGTGCGGGCATGTTACTAATTACCAACGCTAAAACTATTACCACCAAAAAAACTTTAAAATAACCCAAATAAAAATATACCGGTTGCTTGTTAAAATTACTCCCCCATTAGAATGTCCTACATTGGTTGTTAAGGTTATATATTGGTTGTTAATGTTACGCGTTTGTTGTTAAGGTTACGTATTGGTTGTTAAGGTTATACAGGTTGCTTGTTAAGGTTACGGGTTGGTTGTTAAGAATATGCGTTGGTTGTTAAGGTTACAGGCTTGTTAAGGTTACGGATTGGTGTTAACGTTATACGGGTTGATTGTTAAGGTTACGAGTTTTTGCTTGTTTAACAACCAACTCGTAACCTTAACAACCAACCCGTAATCTTAACATCCAACCCGTAATCTTAACAACAAACGCGTAACCTTAACAACAAACGCGTAACTTTAACAAGCAACCCGTAACCTTAACAAACAACATGTATAACCTTAACAACCAACCCGTAACATTAACAACAAACATGTAACCTTCATATTAACGGATCTTGAGGATCTCTCTGACCGATTATTAGGCTCTGAAAAACACGCTAATTGAAGAAAAATGTAAACTTGGACCTAACAAACAAGGTGAAATCTCGACATCACAATAACAGCAGAACAAGGACCAGTGAAGCAAACAAAATGCACCAAAACATCAAATCCAAGCTCGACGGGGGAAAAACGTGTTGATTCCGACAGAGAGATCTTGAGTGTTCTGTATATTTAGAGTAACTTTTAGACGATATAGGAAGTCTAGATGCACTATTTTTATGCATGTTGGCCCGCCCATCCATGTTAACGTCTTTAATAGGTAACCAAAATAAATTTATATATTTTTCAAGAACACTCGCTTTTTTTAATAACTCTTAATATGTCAACATCTTTTAATTAATATGCATGGCACTATTCACAACATTTCTCAAGCTTCAAGCTACGTTCAGGAGTTTACATATTTCTTCAATTAGCGTGTTTTTCAGAGCCTAACAATCCGACAGAGAGATCCTCAAGATCCGTTAATATGAAGGTTACGTGTTTGTTGTTAATGTTACGGGTTGGTTGTTAAGGTTATACGTGTTGCTTGTTAAGGTTACGAGTTGCTTGTTAAGGTTACGCGTTTGTTGTTAATGTTACTGGTTGGTTGTTAAGGTTACGGGTTGGTTGTTAAGATTACGGGTTGGTTGTTAATGTTATATGGTTTGCTTGTTAAGGTTACGAGAGGGGGCATGGTTGTAATTACTATCAATCTTGTCCTTCTTCTTCTTATTATTGTTCTTAGGTTGGGCGAGTCCTCCCGCACGCTCCCACGCTCCCATGAACAGGTCCTCCCACGCTCCCACGCTCCCATGAACAGGTCCTCCCACGCTCCCACGCTCCCATGAACAGGTCCTCCCACGCTCCCACGCTCCCATGAACAGGTCCTCCCACGCTCCCACGCTCCCATGAACAGGTCCTCCCACGCTCCCACGCTCCCATGAACAGGTCCTCCCACGCTCCCACGCTCCCATGAACAGGTCCTCCCACGCTCCCACGCTCCCATGAACAGGTCCTCCTGCCCGCTCCCACGCTCCCATGAAACCCAGCTCGCAGAGAATCATGAAGCAGTAAAACCTCAGTCGCTTGTTCCCGTCGGCTATGCAGCGCTCGTCGCCGGAGTTTCGCTCGGCCCTCGAGCGGACTATCTCTTTGTACTCCTCGAACCGCGCCGAGGTTTTCTCCGCGTTGTGGATCTTAAGGATGCTGTGGATGGCCGGAGCGACGATGGCAGAGAAGGTGAGGATGGCAGGAGGAGGGCGGCGGCGGCGGGTGGAGAGGTGGGGGAGGGAGGAGGGAGAGCAGAGGGATTGCAGGGTTAGAGAGAGAGAGAATGGGTATTATAGTCTTTCCCTGTGTGAAATTCATTGGGCTTTGTGTTTGGGGGCTCAGAGAACAAAAAATGAGAAGGTGAGGATGGCAGGAGGAGGGCGGCGGCGGCGGGTGGAGAGGTGGGGGAGGGAGGAGGGAGAGCAGAGGGATTGCAGGGTTAGAGAGAGAGAGAATGGGTATTATAGTCTTTCCCTGTGTGAAATTCATTGGGCTTTGTGTTTGGGGGCTCAGAGAACAAAAAATTTACTTTTGGGGGCAAAGCACCCGTTGAAAAAGTCTTGGGGGGTGGGAAGCTTGTTTTCATTCGTTTTGGGGGCTGGAAGCATTTTTCCCATAAATATATCTACTAACGATTTAAGGAAAGGTAAAATACTATTAAAATATTTGAAAACCTGGACTTGCTACCTAAAAAAATAAATTTAGCCTAAAATCAAGAATAAATGGAAGAATTACAGCTAGATGGAAAAGAAAACTTTAAGCTAGATAAATTTTATTGAAAACAAATCTTTGTTAGAAATCCCTTGGAAAACTTAATAAAAGGTAGTTTGTTTTGTTTAGTAACTAAAAATTTTTCAGCACTACCTAAGAATAAT